AATATATTTTTTTTTAATAAAAAATTTATGCATAAAATGATAGCTATCCACAAATTTTTTATTTAAGTATACTTGAACATATAATCATTAAAATTATAAACTAAAATTTACTTTCATATATTAAGATAGGAAGAAATCAGTACAATGACTCTAAAACATTAAAAACTGGTTTTGTTGCTTTATAGTTTAGCAATATCCAGTTTATAATTAACCCAACGATCACTTAAATATTACTCTTCTTGCATTTTTAGCTGCAAAATCACTAATTAAGTTTGTATAATCTAATTTATCTACCAAATCCTTTTCAATAGACAATATAGCTAATCCATTCAATCTTTCTTGTGGCATTGTCGATCGAAGGTAGGATTTGATCAATTTTAACTTTGAAAAACTTTTTTCTCCAGAGGCAACGATAACTGGAATAGTCAATAATATTCTATACCCAATCCAGGCATTTGGAAAACAACCATCCATCAATTTCAAATAATTCATCACCTCAATTGGCCTATTGATTTCTTTTGCCAAAATTTTTTGAAGACTTTCAACTCAGAAAATAAATCTCTCCCATCAACATCCATAAGTCCATCTTGTTTCAAAAAGTCTTCAAGATTAGCACAATAAGTCTTCAAGCACTCATCATTGGTAGAATTTAACTTCTTCAAATCAAACAAAAATCCAAAAGTTTCTTCATATATTTGAAATTGTTTAAATCTACTCTTAAGTAAAGAAAGAGCTTGATCTATTATTGTAATAACCCCGACCTCCGATTAATGCTAAACCATGATTATTTATGTCTAATAGTAATTTAGAAGGAATCCGGAATTAAATTGCATATGTATTGCATTATCTTTGTGTTTTTATCTGTTTGCCATAAAATGATATGTTCATGTTTTATGTTTTAAACTACAAATTGAAGGTCTTATCTGCGACCAAATCCAAAACTGATTAGTGTTTTGTGTTAATTAGAATTAATGTGATTTTGTGATAAACTTAGTTGAAATTTGATTTGGTGTGATTCAATTGGATTAAATAAGCTAAATCACATTAGTTGGACTTATCTATCATTACGCCATTTAGTGGCTTGATTTGAGACCAACCTTATCACACCTTATTACACTTAGAAGCATATCTCCTCAGCCATTTTCTTGGCCAAAACCGACTAGAGAGAGAGAGAGTTAGGAGAAAATAGAATTCATCTAGAGATTTGGCTTGGAACTTAGGAGAATTGAAGAGGCTTTGCAAATTCGAGCTCCTAGACTTGGAATTCAAGGTTTAAGGTAGGAGATTCCCCTTTCAATTGTGAATTTAAGATTAATTCTTGCTTGGTTCATGAGACATTAGTGATCTAAGTCATGAATTGATTGAAAATGTTGAATTGAGGCTTAAATCATACATGCATGTCTACATTCTTGAATTGTGAGGTTGTTCTCATAGAATCCTCACATGCATGTCCATATTTTTGTTATAGTCCATGAATTCATCCTATTCTTGAGCTTGATCTTTCTTTGGATCATGTTTTGGAGCATTAGAAGTCATGAGAATTCATGCATGTTACATTTAAGTTCTATTCTTGAAGTTTTATTTGAAATTGTGCTTAATTGACTCACCTTTGGGCTTTGATTTTACAAATTGATCTTTGAAACATCTTATACTATGAGTTTACAAGTGTTTTATAGAAAATGGGCCTAAAGGGTTGAGATTTGAGGTGTTGAATGCTTGGTTTGAGCTTGGGAGGCAAATCTGGAAATTTCAGAATTTGGCTTACTTGCTTAAGCGAAGGATTCCACGCTCGAGCGACCATCGTTTTTTCAGAGCTCCGCTCGAGCGTAAATTGCAAGCTCTCAGGTTTTTGGTGCACTCAGACGCACGCTTGAGCGACGAGACCTACGCTTGAGCGAAGAACTGTGTCTCATGCTCGAGCGAGCATCGAGCGGGCATCGAGCGTAAAATTTCAACAACCAGTACTTTTGCATTTTTACAGACCGCTCGAGCGAAGGAGTCTATGCTCGAGCGACCCCTCTGTTTTGACAAGCTCGCTCGAGCGAAGGAAGCCACGCTCGAGCGAGACCCCTATTTTCAGCAAGTTTTGAAAAATATTTTCCAAGGTATCTTTGCATCCTCATTCCATCCTAGGCATTCCTAGGCCATGTTTAAGACTCTATAGTGAGGATTTAAGGTTAGAAACACACTAAGAACCATCGACGTAAGTTTTGTGCAATTAGAATATGTTTTTCAAGTGTGTGTCCGTTATGTGTTATGTAGGTCACGTGCCGCGTATCGTGTGATCAATCTGCTTCGTCTGTTTGCTTCAAGGCCAACTGTGAGTAATAATTTAGTAAAGTTATGTTCAAACTGTATCTATTTTCTGTGTGATAAAATAAGATTTGTTTTCAGAAATGATATGTTTTGTACAATGAATGATTGTTCAATTTCTGATATGTATTCGTGACATCCTTAGCATCATGTGATATCTGTTAGCTGTTACCCAGTATCGGAGGTTCCTTTATGGAACTTATTTCTATCTGCACTCTGTTACCCGTACCGAAGGCCCTGTCATGGGGGCTCAGCTTCTGTTCTGTTCTATTACCCGGATCCGGAAGTTCCTTTATGGAACTGTTTATTCGTAACCTCACATGTATACGTTCTGTTCTGTTCTGTTCTGTTAATGTTAATGGATGTATCACGTAAACTTAATCATGACTTATGATTTCTGTCTGTATAAGATCTGGACAAATGATGAATTTGATACAAATCTGAATTATGATTTCTGAATCTATACAAACTCATTCATTGAAACCCTTTACTCTATTATTATTCACTGGGCTTCGCTCACAGTTTATATTATGTATGTAGGTGAGCCGGCATGTGACCAGGGCCAGACTTAACGACCTTCTGTTCTGTTTTTGTCATCCAACTGTTGTGCCTCCCGAGGAGGTTCCGAATGAAGCCTAAAGCCATGGCTGTTTTTGTAATCATGCTAGTCTTTGTGTATGCTCTGTAAAGTCAGGTCTTGGGAAGTACATTCTGTAAATACCTTGTAAATATTGTGTATCTGGACTGGCATGTTTATGTATATATAAATAAGTTTTGAAATGTTCTGTCTCATGTACGTTATCACAACTCATTGGACCTTGTCTATTTTGTCTTATTACTTCCGCAGCCCCTTATTATTTGCTAATCTGTTCAGAGGCCTTTGGTAATCCACGGATTACTAGCCGGTTACGGTGCTAAACTTACAGGGGCGGGTTTGGATCGTGACAATTATATATATGAAATAATTAACTCTAAAGGATTCTTCAGCTGATTGTGCAACCTCTTCACTAACATTCTCATCAAAATGTTTCTTTCTATGAATGACACGTCTTTCACGAAATGTAGGTTCAATCTCCATTTCAATTGCAACTTCTTTAGCTTCAATCATGGCCTCCAAAAATCCAGTTTCTCTATACTTTTCAAGAAATGTAATGAGTCCTTTTAATTGATGTATAACAGCATCAATATGCATGTCTTCAACTTGAAATGTCTTGCTAACAGAATTAACAGCAAACAACAGATTGTGCCAAATAATCATGCCAAGCAAAAACTCAAAGTTCTCAATTTCAGATGTAACTAAGGATTCAGCTTCACACTTTGTATTGGGCTAATCAACTTCTTTTTCCAACTAAATTAAAGCATCTCTAATTTGTGGAGCTTGACACCGTATAGCTTTAACACTTTCAATTCGACTTTCCCAACGAGTTTGTGATAATGGCTTAAGTGTGAGACCTTCCACATTGTCTTTGAAAATTTCCCACCTCTTTGTAGAAGATGAAAACAACACAGATATGCATTGTACCACTCTAAAGAAATAGATAGCTTTGGAACAAGAGGTAGCCATATCACAAAGGACAAGATTAAGACTATGACACCCACATGGCATGTAGAATACTCTTGGATTTATTTCAAGTACTCTTTTTTGTACACCTTTGTGTCTTCCTTTCATATTAGAGCCATTATCATATCCTTGCCCTCTTATATCACCAATATCAAGCTGGAGTGTGTACAATGCCTCCCTAAGTACATTAAAAAGTTCCAACCCCGATTTATCATCCACTTTAAAAAATTCTAAAAAGAATTCTTCTACCTTTACCAGACTAGTTGAAACATCTACACATCTTATCACAAGAGACATTTGTTCTTCATGACTAACATCTGGAGTGCAATCAAGAATAATTGAAAAATATTGCGCTTCTTTGATTCTTGCCACAATCGTACTCTTGATCTCACTCGCTAACATCTGTATCAATTCATTTTGGATTTTGTGGCCAAGATAATGATAATGAATTTCACTCCTTTGAATACGTTGAATGTGCTCTTGCATTACTGGATCAAATTTAGCAAGCATTTCAATTAAGCTTAAAAAGATTCCATTTCTTTCTTGATAAATCTTCTCATTGTCTCCACGAAAAGCTAAATTATTTTTAGCAAGAGTGATCACAATAGCAATTATCATTAGTAACGCTTGTCTCCAGTGTTCCCTCTTTTTGTTGATTTGTTCTTGAACACTTCTATCAATTGTTTCATTCTTCTTCAATCTACTTTCCAATTCAATCCATTTGCTCATGCAAATAAAGTGCTCATTACTAGTTTCATGACTTCTAAGCCTGTTGCCTATATTCCTCCAATCTTTCAATCCATCAGTAGCCAAATGAATATTGTTCCCATCTTGCTTAAACAACTTGCAACAAAAGCAAAACACTTTGTCTAAAGCATCTGAATATACTAGCTACTTCCTATCCTGTTTCTCTCCATTTTGTAACTGTCGCATGTAAAATGTAAAAGAAAAATGCCTATCTTTGTCATCTAGGGAAATTCACACCATTACCTCTTATAGGATCTCTTTCAACTAATAAATCTCTTAAATTTTGATCAATCTTGTCCCATTAGTTAATATAGCATTGTTCTTTTTTAACATAGCAATTAGCAATTAGTTAGCATTATTAATTAATATACCAATTAGTTAATATAGCATTGTTCTTTTTTAACATAGCAATTAGCAATTAGTTAGCATTATTAATTAATATACCAATTAGTTAATATAGCATTGTTCTTTTTTAACATAGCAATTAGCAATTAGTTAGCATTATTAATTAATATACCAATTAGTTAATATAGCATTGTTCTTTTTTAACATAGCAATTAGCAATTAGTTAGCATTATTAATTAATATACCAATTAGTTAATATAGCATTGTTCTTTTTTAACATAGCAATTAGCAATTAGTTAGCATTATTAATTAATATACCAATTAGTTAATATAGCATTGTTCTTTTTTAACATAGCAATTAGCAATTAGTTAGCATTATTAATTAATATACCAATTAGTTAATATAGCATTGTTCTTTTTTAACATAGCAATTAGCAATTAGTTAGCATTATTAATTAATATACCAATTAGTTAATATAGCATTGTTCTTTTTTAACATAGCAATTAGCAATTAGTTAGCATTATTAATTAATATACCAATTAGTTAATATAGCATTGTTCTTTTTTAACATAGCAATTAGCAATTAGTTAGCATTATTAATTAATATACCAATTAGTTAATATAGCATTGTTCTTTTTTAACATAGCAATTAGCAATTAGTTAGCATTATTAATTAATATACCAATTAGTTAATATAGCATTGTTCTTTTTTAACATAGCAATTAGCAATTAGTTAGCATTATTAATTAATATACCAATTAGTTAATATAGCATTGTTCTTTTTTAACATAGCAATTAGCAATTAGTTAGCATTATTAATTAATATACCAATTAGTTAATATAGCATTGTTCTTTTTTAACATAGCAATTAGCAATTAGTTAGCATTATTAATTAATATACCAATTAGTTAATATAGCATTGTTCTTTTTTAACATAGCAATTAGCAATTAGTTAGCATTATTAATTAATATACCAATTAGTTAATATAGCATTGTTCTTTTTTAACATAGCAATTAGCAATTAGTTAGCATTATTAATTAATATACCAATTAGTTAATATAGCATTGTTCTTTTTTAACATAGCAATTAGCAATTAGTTAGCATTATTAATTAATATACCAATTAGTTAATATAGCATTGTTCTTTTTTAACATAGCAATTAGCAATTAGTTAGCATTATTAATTAATATACCAATTAGTTAATATAGCATTGTTCTTTTTTAACATAGCAATTAGCAATTAGTTAGCATTATTAATTAATATACCAATTAGTTAATATAGCATTGTTCTTTTTTAACATAGCAATTAGCAATTAGTTAGCATTATTAATTAATATACCAATTAGTTAATATAGCATTGTTCTTTTTTAACATAGCAATTAGCAATTAGTTAGCATTATTAATTAATATACCAATTAGTTAATATAGCATTGTTCTTTTTTAACATAGCAATTAGCAATTAGTTAGCATTATTAATTAATATACCAATTAGTTAATATAGCATTGTTCTTTTTTAACATAGCAATTAGCAATTAGTTAGCATTATTAATTAATATACCAATTAGTTAATATAGCATTGTTCTTTTTTAACATAGCAATTAGCAATTAGTTAGCATTATTAATTAATATACCAATTAGTTAATATAGCATTGTTCTTTTTTAACATAGCAATTAGCAATTAGTTAGCATTATTAATTAATATACCAATTAGTTAATATAGCATTGTTCTTTTTTAACATAGCAATTAGCAATTAGTTAGCATTATTAATTAATATACCAATTAGTTAATATAGCATTGTTCTTTTTTAACATAGCAATTAGCAATTAGTTAGCATTATTAATTAATATACCAATTAGTTAATATAGCATTGTTCTTTTTTAACATAGCAATTAGCAATTAGTTAGCATTATTAATTAATATACCAATTAGTTAATATAGCATTGTTCTTTTTTAACATAGCAATTAGCAATTAGTTAGCATTATTAATTAATATACCAATTAGTTAATATAGCATTGTTCTTTTTTAACATAGCAATTAGCAATTAGTTAGCATTATTAATTAATATACCAATTAGTTAATATAGCATTGTTCTTTTTTAACATAGCAATTAGCAATTAGTTAGCATTATTAATTAATATACCAATTAGTTAATATAGCATTGTTCTTTTTTAACATAGCAATTAGCAATTAGTTAGCATTATTAATTAATATACCAATTAGTTAATATAGCATTGTTCTTTTTTAACATAGCAATTAGCAATTAGTTAGCATTATTAATTAATATACCAATTAGTTAATATAGCATTGTTCTTTTTTAACATAGCAATTAGCAATTAGTTAGCATTATTAATTAATATACCAATTAGTTAATATAGCATTGTTCTTTTTTAACATAGCAATTAGCAATTAGTTAGCATTATTAATTAATATACCAATTAGTTAATATAGCATTGTTCTTTTTTAACATAGCAATTAGCAATTAGTTAGCATTATTAATTAATATACCAATTAGTTAATATAGCATTGTTCTTTTTTAACATAGCAATTAGCAATTAGTTAGCATTATTAATTAATATACCAATTAGTTAATATAGCATTGTTCTTTTTTAACATAGCAATTAGCAATTAGTTAGCATTATTAATTAATATACCAATTAGTTAATATAGCATTGTTCTTTTTTAACATAGCAATTAGCAATTAGTTAGCATTATTAATTAATATACCAATTAGTTAATATAGCATTGTTCTTTTTTAACATAGCAATTAGCAATTAGTTAGCATTATTAATTAATATACCAATTAGTTAATATAGCATTGTTCTTTTTTAACATAGCAATTAGCAATTAGTTAGCATTATTAATTAATATACCAATTAGTTAATATAGCATTGTTCTTTTTTAACATAGCAATTAGCAATTAGTTAGCATTATTAATTAATATACCAATTAGTTAATATAGCATTGTTCTTTTTTAACATAGCAATTAGCAATTAGTTAGCATTATTAATTAATATACCAATTAGTTAATATAGCATTGTTCTTTTTTAACATAGCAATTAGCAATTAGTTAGCATTATTAATTAATATACCAATTAGTTAATATAGCATTGTTCTTTTTTAACATAGCAATTAGCAATTAGTTAGCATTATTAATTAATATACCAATTAGTTAATATAGCATTGTTCTTTTTTAACATAGCAATTAGCAATTAGTTAGCATTATTAATTAATATACCAATTAGTTAATATAGCATTGTTCTTTTTTAACATAGCAATTAGCAATTAGTTAGCATTATTAATTAATATACCAATTAGTTAATATAGCATTGTTCTTTTTTAACATAGCAATTAGCAATTAGTTAGCATTATTAATTAATATACCAATTAGTTAATATAGCATTGTTCTTTTTTAACATAGCAATTAGCAATTAGTTAGCATTATTAATTAATATACCAATTAGTTAATATAGCATTGTTCTTTTTTAACATAGCAATTAGCAATTAGTTAGCATTATTAATTAATATACCAATTAGTTAATATAGCATTGTTCTTTTTTAACATAGCAATTAGCAATTAGTTAGCATTATTAATTAATATACCAATTAGTTAATATAGCATTGTTCTTTTTTAACATAGCAATTAGCAATTAGTTAGCATTATTAATTAATATACCAATTAGTTAATATAGCATTGTTCTTTTTTAACATAGCAATTAGCAATTAGTTAGCATTATTAATTAATATACCAATTAGTTAATATAGCATTGTTCTTTTTTAACATAGCAATTAGCAATTAGTTAGCATTATTAATTAATATACCAATTAGTTAATATAGCATTGTTCTTTTTTAACATAGCAATTAGCAATTAGTTAGCATTATTAATTAATATACCAATTAGTTAATATAGCATTGTTCTTTTTTAACATAGCAATTAGCAATTAGTTAGCATTATTAATTAATATACCAATTAGTTAATATAGCATTGTTCTTTTTTAACATAGCAATTAGCAATTAGTTAGCATTATTAATTAATATACCAATTAGTTAATATAGCATTGTTCTTTTTTAACATAGCAATTAGCAATTAGTTAGCATTATTAATTAATATACCAATTAGTTAATATAGCATTGTTCTTTTTTAACATAGCAATTAGCAATTAGTTAGCATTATTAATTAATATACCAATTAGTTAATATAGCATTGTTCTTTTTTAACATAGCAATTAGCAATTAGTTAGCATTATTAATTAATATACCAATTAGTTAATATAGCATTGTTCTTTTTTAACATAGCAATTAGCAATTAGTTAGCATTATTAATTAATATACCAATTAGTTAATATAGCATTGTTCTTTTTTAACATAGCAATTAGCAATTAGTTAGCATTATTAATTAATATACCAATTAGTTAATATAGCATTGTTCTTTTTTAACATAGCAATTAGCAATTAGTTAGCATTATTAATTAATATACCAATTAGTTAATATAGCATTGTTCTTTTTTAACATAGCAATTAGCAATTAGTTAGCATTATTAATTAATATACCAATTAGTTAATATAGCATTGTTCTTTTTTAACATAGCAATTAGCAATTAGTTAGCATTATTAATTAATATACCAATTAGTTAAT